TGAGTCCAGTATTTGACGGCAAGACTTTGGCGTTTATAGCCATCTATATCGAGACCATCGATGGCTTTATTTTCTAAAATGAAAGCACTGTTACTCTGAGCGCTTTCGTAACCCATATCCGACAGAAACGCGTATTTCATGAACGCCTGCAGGACTTTGTTATTCTTGTAGTGGTTGTCGGCTTCAGCCAATTCTCGAGACCAGACACCCCTTTCAGCCACTGATTTAAAGTGTGAAACGGCGGTCCGACACGATATGGCCACTCCATGGCCGCCGCCAAACAGTTGTCCCAAATGATAGACGGCTAACAAGTGCTGGGACTGTAAGGCGAGGGTAAAGAATCTGATGGCTCGACGGTAATCACGAGCGACACCCAAACCATTCATATACATGAGACCCAAGTTTACGATGCCTTCGACCCAACCCTGTCGTGAAGAGAGCGCGAAGTACTCGAACGCATCCTTGAAGTCAATGTCCACTCCTTTGCCCGTTAGATACATGAATCCCAGGCCTGCCTGTGCTATAGGATTGCGCTTTTGTGCCGACGCTTTCAATAATTGATAGGCTTTTGTGAAATTGTGTCCAACAGAAGGACTGCCCTCTAAGTAGATGTGACCCAAAAGTGCCAAAGCATTTGCGTTTCTAGATTTGGCCGCAGTTTGCAAATAGTTGAGAGCTGTGTCCACATCCCTGTCCACACCAAATCCACCAAAATAGTAGAGTTGGCCTAAACTGACGCAAGCATTGATGTGACCCTTTTTGGCCAAAAACTTGTAATAATCGATAAGATCTTTGTCGAGGTTTTGTATGACACGATCGGTTTGTCGCCACAAATGCTTATTTCTGATGACATGTCCGCCACTGACTCGGGAATTGTGGACAACACTTGTGGCCACACTATGATATAAGTCCTTTGCTTGACCACAATCTTCGTGGACATCCATGCCGTACATGTATTTGAATCCAACGGCCATTTTGGCCAAAGAGTTGTCCATATTTGCGGCTAAAGTGTAGTGCATTAGAGATTTGTGTGGATTTGAATGGACTCCCAAACCAATTGAATACATAAAACCTAAGAGAAGATGAGCGCCGGAACTCTCATTAATAGGTATACTTCGCAAGTAATTGAATGCTTTTCTGGGATTAAATGGCAAGTGATCTGCAAATATATATGATCTCGCCATCAGTTCTTTGGCCTTTTGGTGGTCAAGTTGTGCCGATTCTTGCAATAAAGTGAAAGCAATCTTTTTATTGGCTGTCCTCGACTCCAACATCTCAACTGCCTTCTCGTATAAGTGGTCCGCCCTTTCATTAACATTGGTTTCTGGACCATTTGGTTCATATTTGCTAACTGTTCTGGCACAGTGTGCACTTGAACTGCAAGTTATGCTTAAAATCAGTGAAATACATAAAATATTGACAACTGAGACCATCATTTAGGGTGTTTCTCAACAATTTTGATTTTGTGTGTATTGAATGAATCAATTTAAATAAATCATAGAAATAAAGCGGTTTAACAATCGAGTGATTGAATCGACTGATCGTTATCTAAATTGCATTGAAATCAACTAAATTTAATTATTCTCTAAACTGACAGTTTGTAAGAATTCTTAACGTATTTAATAATCTATAATAAATAGACACATCTCTCAAACACTTTTATATTTATATTAAGAGTAAATTCCGTATAAAATACATACAAATAGTTTAGATATTGAATTATGTTTCGAGATATGAATTGTATCCGAAATTGTGATCACAAATTTTGAAATCGTGTCCAATATGTGTGAAATCTGTAATTTATAATTCAGTATGTTTAATTGTCATTTTATAACTAGTTACTTATGCAATACAAATTATTTATCTAAATACCTTTCCTGAGCAAACTGAGATTTGGCGACGATTTGTGTCAACTATTACTGAGTTATCTGTCATTTGAAGATAAATACAGAAATGAATGTCTGTCCAAACAGAGCAAACTATTGATGAAGTCGTCACAAGCGGTAGATTTATGACTTCTGTAAAATTTACATCAGTAATTTCTGTTGAAAACACCGTTTTTCAAGAAACTGAAGAGTTAGTAGCTGTATTAATAGGTTTTCTTAGGTATGTAACAGCGAATAAGCTGTCGATTGACTGAACAGTACACAAGAGAAATGGTGGAAGTGATGGACCACTTGAGAGACAATTGTCTGCAAATTAATTACTATTTTCTAAAATTGGACGACAATTACAAATTTAATCTTTTAAAATTATATTTCAAACGAGACATTGATTTTGAATGAATTATATTTACAATAAATGGGAATAAAGTTAAAGAATTTTTATTTCAATAAATCAATAAATAAATTGATGTCAAATAGAAATCATTTAATAATGAGAATAAAGACAAGAATTTTGAGTGCTTTTAGTGATTGAATGTCTTGAAGGTAGACATCGATTGACGACTATATGTGGACTAATTGGTGACTAATTGACCACTTCTTCGGCCATTTCTTTCGTGTTTTAAATTTTTGATAAAATAGTTATCAAACGAAATTCAAATGATAACTGATTTGACAATTTGTTGACAATTATCTCAATCGCACCAAAAGTCTAACCAATTATCAGAAGATTTCATAAATGGTTAACAAAAACAATAGAAACTAATGGTCAACGGGTCGTCCGGTTTGGGAGCTACCTGTGCCACCACTGATGGTCAGCACAAAACATCTTCGTCCAAGAAGTTACTCTCAAATTCTAACCATTCGGATAAGTTTTGAAATTTAATACAAACTCACGTTATTTGTGAATATAATACGATTGTTGTTGTGATATACTGTATTAAATATTATTATATAATAGACCTTTAGGGTGAGCGCATAACTAATACGCCCGGCCGCCCAACACTGTGCCCAATATGCCCGACACGCCTTAAAACTACTATTTAATAAGTTCAATGTGATTAATATATAATTAATAATAGCTAGTTATTAATTATATTTAATATAAAGTTTGCAAACTATACGGACATAATTGAACAGTTGTCCGCTATGTCATGCCATATGTCATAATCGTCTGAAAGGCTTAGACGTTTGTCTGACTCAAAAAATAACAGATGAGTTGAGTTGGCATTTCTGGACGACTGTCGACAGATTGAGACATCAAGTGATCAAATGAATGCCGATTCCTATATCCATAGCACAGAAGCGGACGTAAAGGACGTACAGATGGCTGTGGAAGGAGTGGGTCTGTGGGCTCTCATCAGTGACT